GAGGGCGAGTGGGAGACGCGGCGCGACTGCTCTCTTCCTCCGCGCGTCCTGCGGGAGGCCACGGCGCGCCTACCTGGTAGTGGATGTGGAAAGGCCACGGCGCGCACAGACCTGGTAGGGAAACGGCTTAGGCTGCCAAGCAGGGGACGGTAAAAGCCAAGCCACGGATTGATTCTGGTCTGGGCTCTGTGATTGGCAGCTGCACGGGAGTGATGTCCTTTTAATTTCAAGGCTCAGGGCTCTCATCTGTGAAATGATTGCACTTTCTAATAAACGTATTTCAAAATAAAATGAGGCTAAACATGAATTCTTAACTATATTCAGCAGCCATTATCAGAAACTAAGAAAACAAATCTCTCTGTGTTTACTATTTTTTTAGAGAGAGATTTTTGCTGTAGGGCACGTGCTCACCAGAGAGACAGAGACGGAGACACAGAAAGCAAGTAATCACCCCCCCCCCGGGGGGGGGGGGATGGGCAGCACCCCCCCCCCCCGGGGGGGGGGAGATGGCCACCACACTGCATCCCTTCTCCAGTTTCCTCCCAGGATCCTGGGTCCCCGCACAAGGGCCGGGTGTGAGTTTTAAGTCACTGGGTCCTGACTGGAACCAGGGCGGGGACTAGGTGGGAATCCAGTGATGTAACCACGAACCATCTGCTGGTCTCATGTGTTTACTATTTTTAAATAGTAAGCACAGAGGGAAGAATTTCATAAGTGTACAGAAACGACTTTGACCTGCAAGGGCCAGAGGGTTAAATTCCAGGTGCAATGGTTGGTTATCAATAACCAGGATAAACACACACACAGTCGCGCTTTCTAACGCCTCTGAAACTGTCAGTGGTCGCTTTTCCTTTGATCTTACACACACACACACACACACACACACTTTATTTCTGCCAAAGATAGAACTGACTACAAACGTGAACAAAATCAACCCACGGTCGAGGAACAAGTGATGTTGCCTAGAATCTTGCTCTCCAGAGATGAGTGCCGTTTCTTGGGTTTGAGCGACTTCCGCTTTTGTTCTACTTTGGTTTATTTTTCTTTTTAAAATTTATTTTAAGTGTGTGGTTTTCATGTAATTGAGGAGAGGTGTCCACGTGTAAAATGTTTACAATCTTCTTTTGAAATGTTTATGATGGAATATGAAATTTGATCATTTTACTGTGTGTGGAATTGGTATCTTAATTCTGAGAGGGGAAAAAAGCTTACGTTTCCAGTTTCTTCCTGCTAGCATTTCTGAGTTCATCTTGGGGCTACTTCATTTAAGGCTGTTCCAGTCCATTCACCAGTTTGAATTAATATTCACATTAGTCTTTATTCTTTAGTAGTTCTTTATTAGAAAACATTATTCAATCACTAGATTATATAAAATGTATAGAGCATAACACTGTGGGGGACTGAAAATCTCTTTTTTACTGTATTTTAAAAGAATACTCTTATTTGAGCATAGAGTTTTTTTAAAAAAAAGGAATACAGAAATGGAGAAAATCTTGTTTAAGATCATTTTTAAAATCGAAGACTACAAGAATATAAGTAATTAAAACTCTCAATACTTTACCAGTTCATGGACTCTTTCTGCACAGGTGTCTTAGCAAACTTAACTGGATCAACAAACGTTGGGTATTTATAGTCATTTTATAGGTTACAGTTTGCAAGTTAACCCTTCCGAGGCTGACACCTATGGTGCCTTTGGTCTGGTTAGACTTAAGTGCCTCATGGAGATGAAAACATGGTTAACAGTACAAGGAAATTTTAAGAAGTTCATGGGGAAAATGGAACAGAAGTACCAGTTTTTCTTGTAAAAATGTTTTTGAAGTCCATGCGTAATGTTTTCATAATACACAAATTCTCCATGAACTTTTTGACAATGCCTTATATATGCTAACAAAAAAATGTTTTCCCAGTACAATTAATGCTTTACTGATATAGCCATAAAGGTTAAGTAATCTCTGATTGGTTCTCATTTAGGCTGCTATGTGAACATTTCAATTATTTAATTGTGAGCGTTTTCTATTCCCGGTTCATGTAAGATGAACTGTATCATCCCAACTTAAATGGAAAGCATATTCCACTCACTCTGACCTCTGCCAACAATCAAAAGATGCCCTGAGCTTGAGAACAGCTTAGCTCTGATTCAGCTATATAGCCCATCCCTCCAGGTGCAGTAAAGCGCTTGTGGTCTCCTATAACTTAGACATTTTGACCTGAGAGTGATTGCATAGACTTCCTTAATAAACACCTGCATCTCTCAAATGAGCCTTAAGATAATGGTCACATATTTGTTACAACAAAAGGAAGCCACTGAGTTTTCCTCAAAGTGCTCAGCACTATTCTGCGCTGGGAGAACTGCTCTCTCTTTGTTTTCACTTTAATATGGGTAACCCTACTAAAGATTTGAATGTCATGTCACAGATTCTTATTTTATCTTGAAGAGCATGACCTTCTGCTTTGTTATAAATGCCTACAGATTTGTTTCCTTCTGAGCTAAGAATCTATCTTTCATTTCTACATATATCCTTCTTGTCTGGAAAATCAACATGCTGATATATCACTTTTTACTCATTAAATCTGACAAAGATTATTAGGCACACAGGGAAATGACATTTTGCTGTTTAAATTGTCAATTATTATTTCGTATGGATTAAACTAACAGTTGGGTATAAACTGGTAAAAATCATTTAGGAGTGCAAGTGGTCAATGTATACATCCTGACCCATTTATTCCATGCTTAAGAATTAATTTTGAGGCCAGCAGGTGGCGTGGTGGTTATGGTGCTGGACTCCCACATGGCTGACTTTGTTTTGAGTCCCAGACCCAGTGAACTTAAAACTCTCTCTGGGTGCATATGCATGTGTGCCCAAAATCCCGAGAGGGGAATGGAAGAGAAGGGATTGTGGCGTGGGCATGTCCCCCAGGGAGGGGTGATTTCTTGCTTTCTGTCTCTCAAACTCTCTCTGTCTCTTCGGCATGGCCACGTGCCCTAAAGTCAAAAAAAAAAAAAAAAATGTCAACTTATCAATGACTTTGCCCACGTGAGTGAACTTCCATTGTTAAATCTAGGAACTATTTGCATACGCCCAAGTTACAAAGATTTTTCTCCTAAAAATTCTATTGTTTTATATTTGTATAAAGTGTGAGGTTGAGCACTCAATGTCAATTGTTTGGTGAACAGATGTCCAGTTGTTTCAAAACATTTATGGAAAAGACTATTATTTACCCATTTTATTGCCTTTACACTTTTCTCAAAAATCAATAAGCCATATCTATTTAGGTCTATTTCTGGTCTCTAGACTCTGTTTTATTGATGTATGTCTGTGCCAAATTCACACTGTCCTGATTACCGCAGCACAGAGAAATTCTTAATATGTGACAGTGTGATTCCTCCAACTTTATTTTTCTTTTGCAAAATCATTTTTGCTATTCTACTCTTTTGCTTTTTCATATTTACTTTAGAATGAACTTTTATGTGTCTACAAAAAAGTCTTACTGTTTTCATCACACTAAAATTGCATTAAATTTGTAGGTCATTGTGGACATCATCAGCATCTTTATTACGCTGTATCCTTCAGATCATGAGCATCATATGCCTCTTTTCCAACTAAGTCTTTTTTTAAATTAGCATTTTGTGATTTTCAGCACGTAGACCTTACATATTTTGTTAGATTTATGCCAGAGTATTTCAAGTTTTGAGACAGTATCAATGATATCTTTCCAAATTTCAATTCCTTTTTCCCTTTTTTTTTTTTTTTTTTTTAGAGTTTTGTTACTGGGCATGTGCACTCACTAGAGAGACACAGAGACAGAAAGTGACAAATCACTCCCCAGGGGGATGGCCATGCCACAATTCCTTCTCCATTCTCCTCTCTGGGTATCAGGCATGCACGCATACATGCCTGGTATAAGTTTCAAGCTGCCAGGTCTGGGACTCCAGCTGCAGTCAGCCACGTGGAAGTCCAGCACCTCAACCACCACATCATCTGCTGGTGACCTCACATTTCCATTTCCAATTGTTTGTTGCTAATAAATAAAAACACTATAGGTTTTGTGTGTTGACCTTGCATCGTACATCATTGCTGAACTTACTTATTAGTTACAGGTAGGGTTGTTTGTTTGTTTGTTCTTGCATATTTATTGAGATTATCTATGCAGATAAACTTTTGTGTAAATAGGGACACTTATTTCTTCCTTTGAATTTGTTCACCTACCATTTCTTTTCAACCATTTCTTATAGTGGCTTATTGCACTTCTAGAATGATACTGAACAGGAATGGTAAGAGTGGACATCCTTGCATTGTTATCACAGGGACAAAATACACAAGTCTTCCATCATTAAACATATCTCAGTTTAAGATTATTTGTAGGTCATCTTTATCAGATTTAGGAAATCATCTATTTCATGTGCTGGGGGGTTATGAGAAATGGATGTTTAACTTTATCAAATGCTTTTTATGTGGCCATCCCATAGACTAACAGTAAAGAGAGCTGGCTCCCATGGAACTGACTGTACAGTTTGAGTCCTGGCGCTGGCCACTCAAAACACATGCACACATTGGGCATGCATGGCCAAAATCTCAACAGGATGGAGAAGTGAAGAAGGAATTGCCCCATGACCGTACCCCAGAAGGGGTGCTTTCTCTCTCTCCCTCTTTCTATCTTTCTCTGTCTCTCTCTGGCAAGTGCATGTGACATCTTGCAGGTTAAAAAACATTTTTTAATAAAAATGCTTTTTCTGTATCAATTGAGATAGTCATATGATTATTTTAG